TAGCCGATAGGGGCCCGATAGCCCTAACCTGCCCAGGAACGTTCGGATGCAATGTCGGGGGCCCATCGCCGATCTGTCGGCGGTGTATTGCCGATTCAAGGCCGACCTTGCCCACGTATGCCAGTCCCCCCCTTATCGTTGCCCCCTCAGCGAGGCATCAACACGTTTGGCTTCAGAATGTCTGGAGCCGGACGCTTCGTGCATACAACCGTTTCTTCTGACCATCCTGGGCAGGTTTGCCACCTCCAAACTGCCTTTGCAGATTCGTCGTCCAGAGGATCACTGGTCACTTCCGTGGTTGGCTCAAAACAGAAAGGCCGAACTTCGATGTGTTGATCAAATCGGAGATGTCGTGGTCGGCGTTTCGGCGGGGACGCGCCGATTTTGCTCCGATCAGGGGGTTCGGAGGGCTCCGCGCGCCAGGGAGGGGGGGGTCCAGCACCGATGCAAGTAGTCTGCGTGGATCTCCGAGAAAGTATGTTTGTTCCAGTTTCGGCCTCCGGAGGCCCGTTTCGGGCGTTGGGGCTGTCAAAGAACGCCAACACGTAACGCAGGTCTAGTCCCCAGAGTGGGGTCGAGAGGGCGGGAGGCGCGTGTGATGCAGGCAATGTCGGGGGCGCAAGAGGGGCCAGCTTGATTGCATCCACTTCTGAAGCGTCGCGCACCACGGGTTGGCGCGACGGGGGGGGGCGGGTTCTGACCGTCTGAGAAGGCGGGGGAGTTTATGAACAGGCAGGTGGCCTCTTAAAAGCCCCCCCCAGCTTCCAACAGGGCTTCTCAGAAGCCGCTGGGCCACTCTAAGCAGAGCCCTGCCTTCGGAGCACCCGCCTCCTCAAAATGCCAACTCCCTCTCGCCACTCCCTTGGCGCGCGCCGCGAACACTGGCTGGGGCGGAGTCGCCATGGAGGACGGGAGACTTCAGGGAAACGGCTTCTGGACCCCGGGATCCTTCCCCACGATCAGCTCGCCGTCCCGAGCCGCCTCTTGACGGTCGCTCCCAGGGCCCGGGGAGGGCCCCTGGAGGCCGAGAGCGGCGAGAAATCGTAGGGAGAACCGTCCCTGCAACGCCCCTTCTCATCCGCTTCGCACAGCTCGGGCGTGTGCATTTTATCTCGGCGAGGACCATCGGGGAACATCCTGGATCATCGAGCAAAACAGAAGCACGCACGAAATCGAAACATGCACGGGGAATGGACGTCCGAGCGATGGCGAGTCCATGGCCCCATGGCAGCCTGATCGGGAGGAGGACCGGCGGGGAGAGCACGCGCGCGGGGAGGACGGCCGCACCGCAAGCGCGGGGGGGGGGAAAGCTGCGGGACGAGGCGTGTGGAACAGCAGCCGTGTGCAGCCCGCGCCAGACGAACCGCGGGCGCCCCGCCGGAGCAAACCTCGGGAACCGCGGGGTCCGCCAGCGGCGATGTCCGAGGTCCTAGGCCTCCCAGATGGGTCGGAGCAGATGGGGTCGGAGGACCGCGCCGCATCGCCGATGCACCGCCGGTGCGGCTCGACGTGAAACCCGATTTGCTTCACGTCGATGTCGCCGATGCATCGCCGACGTCGACGAGGCATCTCTGGTGAATCGCCGATGCATCGGCGATGCGGCGCGATCCTCCGACCCCATCACTCCAACCCCATCCGGGGAGCCTCAACAGGTCGAGGAGACCCTCAATCGCATCAAGACCCACAAAGGCGTGCCCCCCAGGAGGAGGAGGAGGGAGGAGGAGGAGGAGGAGGAGGAGGAGGAGGAGGAGGAGGAGGAGGAGGGAGAGGAGGAGGAGGAGGAGGAGGAGGAGGAGGAGGCGGAGGGGGAGGGAGAGGGGGAGGAGGAGGAGGAGGAGGAGGAGGAGGAGGAGGAGGAGGAGGAGGAGGAGGAGGAAGGAGGAGGTGGAGGAGGAGGAGGAGGAGGAGGAGGAGGAGGAGGAGGAGGAGGAGGGGTTTACTGCAACATCCCAATTTTGATGACTAGGTTGAGCAATCAGGGACGACATGCGCAGCAGAGTGCTCGTCCGTTTCGCACTCTGGCTCCAGGCCAAACCAAATGCTGACCTCTCCTGCTGCTACAGTTGGTAGCGGAGCGGGGATTGCCGGGTGGCCATGGGCGCTAGCGCCGGCCGGTAGTTGGCGGTGACCCGCGCTTGCGTGCCCCTGGCGAGCTGCGCCCGACACCGCGTGGGCGGCGCGGGATGCACGGCAGCTGTCATTCGTGCAGAAACGGGGAGCAGCAGCGGCGGCCGGTGCCGATCGGCAGGTGCACGAGGCGCGGCCCCAGCGGGCGGCGCGGCTGCCGAATCGGCCGAGGCCGTGGGAGGCGGCGCAGCAGCAGCAGCAGCAGCAGCAGCAGCAGCAGCAGCACAGCAGCAGCAGCAGCAGCAGCAGCGCCCCCGGGCCTGGCGGCCACGGCCCCTGGCGCGACGGCGGAGGAGCCGACGGAGATGATCCGCAGCATAGGCCACGAGATTATGGGATCCAAGGGCTCGTCCACGCAGGCCAAGGGCAAGTACGACGACGTGTGGCAGATTTCCGATATCTCCTGGAAGCTCGGCCGGCTTTGGGAACGAGGCCAGGCGAGCAATGAAGCAGCAGAAAAAAACCCGGGTCGTGGGGGTCAGTGGAAGCGAGAAGACGACAATTTCTGGGACCCGACCGCCGATTACAAGTCCAGGCAGAAGGGCTACCACTGGGAGAGCGGCCGCTGGCACGACGGCTGGGGTGAGAACGGCGGCAACGGTTTTTGGAACAACGGCGGTGCCCGAGGAGACTTCAGCGACCCGCCGTCGTGGCCAGGCTGGAGTCATTACCGCCAGTGGAAGAGATCGATTTGACGCTGGAACAACATGGCGGGCGTGCTGGTCGGGCGCAGGTCTGACAAGTTCATGAAGCTTCTCGAGTACAGTTTCCAGGCAAACTTCGAAGACACCAGCGACTACGAGCTGGCTTCCGAGGCGCGGCTCGAGGTCCTTCCCGCCGGGATAGACTCGGGCCGAACGAAAGGGGGGGATTGGGACAGGGAGCGTTACGAAATTTGCTCCATGCTGCTGTTTTCGGCCCTGCCGAGGGGCCCATTCCTCGACGCCTGGCCGCCTCTGGCGCTGGGAGGCGCCGGGGAAATCAGCCACGCGAGCTGATTCTCAAGCATATCCTGTTCTATCCCCCCCTTTCGCCCGACCCGATAGACATGGTGATCGGCGAGCGGGAAGGCGATGACCTACGACGCGCCGGCAGACGCCCGTTCTCCGAGGCAGCTCGCGAATCCCAGCATTCGCAAACGCAGTTCGCGAGTCGGCGCGAGGCGCAGTTGTTGGAGACCGAAGGCCATGATCTGTGGATGTCCAGCAAGCTCAAGCGCCTCCTGCTAGAGGAGGGCGCTGTTCCCGCAGGCCAAGGCACTCATGATCTTAGGACCCTCGCCCAGGGTCAGCTTGATTTTAGCTATGTGGCCCCGGGCCTCAGGCAGATGGGCGACGGGGGCAGCGAGCGCCTCCTTCCCGACAAGCCTTGGCCAGGGGCCGTGCTTGCCTCATCTCGCGATGGCCGCGACCCCGGTGCCGAATCGACCAGTGCCGGTTCTTTTCCTCCTCGCTCTGTCCGCCCTCCTGGTCGGTTCGACGGCGGCGACCGGGTCGGCGAGGAAGACGGCTACCCTGACGACGATGGGGATTCGGAGTCGGACAGCGAGGACGACGTCGAGGCGCTGCTGGCCGAGATCGAGGACCTGAGCTTGGACGGGAATCTGCTCTGGGGGGGCCCCGCGACGATCGAGGCCCGTCACTGCCGCACCTGGAAGCAGAACATGGACTTCAAGCGGGCGGCCCCGCGGGATCGAGAGCACTTCGGAGCAGGGCCCAATCCGGGCCGGGGCAAGTCTCGCCCGCCGAGGCCCCGCCAACCTGATGGAGGCCCAGGACGATCCCACAGAGCTGGACATGGGCGCAGGCGGAGCAGTCGGCCTACCCCAGAGCAGCCGACGACGGTCACGCGGCGCAAGATCTGCAACGAGAAGGGACATTTAAGAGGGAGTGCCCCAATAATCGCGACAAGGCTGGGGCACGAGCAAGTCCGGGCGGGCGAAGCGGGGGGGGCGTCGAGGAATCTCGGGCTACATCTTCGACGGGGCGCCCTGCAGCGGCGCGACCCACCTCGCGTTCAACAGCGTGGTCTCGCTCGGCGAGGCATCTGACGGCAGCGGCGCGCTCGACGGCGCTGAGCTGACCCCGCAGATTGGCGCCTGGGACGCAGGGGCCGCGGAGATCGCGGACTGCTGCATCTATCGCAGCCTGGGCCACCCAGGCCCTGGAAGATCCGGGGGCCGGCGGCGACCTGGTCGGGCGACGGGCGCCCAATCGAGAGTCGGCGGCTCTTGCCAGCCTCGGTCTGCGATGCGCGGCAATTCCAGAGGCCCAGCGATCTCGGGCGAGCGCTCGCGGAGTGGGCGGAGCCGCGACGGTGCTCAGCGCCGCGCTGTTCCCGCCGCGTCTCCGACGCGTGCTCGGCGTCGTCGAGACGGCGGTTCCAGCCGAGGACGTGCCCCATATTTTGAACGTGAATCTCGTCGATGCCCTGGCCTGTGTCTCGACCTGCTCAGGAACGGGATGCCCCCCGGCACTCTCGAGCAGGACCTTGCTCTCACTCGCCTGGGCCGGGGGCACCGCGCGGCGGATGTCGTTCGGCCCCTCGTGAGCCGGCGAGTTCCAGAGGCAGCTCTGAGCAGTCAGTCGTTACTGCTAGCCCAGGGTTAATCGGGGCCAGAGATGCTCGAGGATGGCCCCCTGTCGGCGCGCCACCTCCTTTCCCTCGTCCTCATCGCAGCCCCGGAGCGCCCCTCAGCCTCCTACGAGGCCACCGTGAGCGGCGCCCCCGGCCTGCTGCTCAGCGCCCAGAACGGCGGGGGGCCTGGGATTCAGAGAGGGAGCTAAGGCATCAATTGGCAGGCGGGACGCAACCAGGCGCAGACCAGGAAAATTCCAGGAGGTCGTCGCCACGTTGATCGCGGGGTTCTCCGCAGCACATCTGGGCTCGAGACTCGAGCTCTGTCCGAGTGTATTCCGCGAGTCGTTCATGCGTCGAGGTGAGCGCTTCAGCCCTCCAGGACGTCGCCATGTAGGCCTGGCCGGGCTGCGACCCCGGCAGGGCTGCCCGGGTCGGTCGCCGAGGCCGGCGGGGAGAAGGACCCGCCCAAGGAGGAGGCCGCCGCGCAGGAGTTCCTGAGGCGTCGCGACCTGGCAGCCGCGGGAACAGGACCTGCGGGGCCAGAAGCCGACAGCTTCCACTGGAGCTCGGAGGCCGAGTTGGAGGTGGCGTCGCCTCCGGGGCCAGCGGCATCCGAGGCCCCCTCATCGTCGGGAGCTGCTCCAGGACTTCAAGAGTATCGTCGCCGCCAGGGGCTGGGGCAGCATCGGCGGCGGGCGCCCAGGCGATGCAGACGGGGCCCGCGCCGTGGAATGCCGCAGCGGCCGCGGCCGCCCGGCCTCCTCCAGCCCCCTCGGGGTCGCCGCCTCAGCAGGGCCCCGCAGCGACGGCGGCGGCCGGAGCGACTGCGCAGCCGGCGGCATCTCGCCAAGCAGATCGGCCAGGCGCCGCGGCATCAGCGGTTCCGAAGAAGCCGCCTCCGAAGTTGCCGCCGGACTGCCAGCGCTCTCGAGAGCGCGCCCATCACTACGGAAACCAGCATGGACCAGGCGCCGAGTGCAGCCAGCGCGGCGAGCGCCTTGTCTGGGCGACCAAGAGCAGCCGCGACGCGTCTGGGGAGGAGGCCCCTCAGTCCGCAGCTGGCGCGGCCCGGTCGCCTGCGAAGTCGGCCCAGCAGGCAGCGAACATCCAGGAGGGATTCCAACAGCGGCATCAAGGCATCACGCGCATCCACCACACGCTGGGAGCGATGGAGGACTTCAGCGAGAAGCTGGACCAGCTCCATGAGGGCGCCCACTCGGTCAGGCACTCGGCGGCGAACCTGGAGGTGGCCGCAGGGCAGCTCGGGCACATGATGAGCCAGATCGGCGCCGCCACGATGGCGCTGGCCCTGAGCGCCGCCCAGACCGGTCCCTGGGCGCCCAGCCAGCCGCCGCCCAGCCAGCTAGCGCCAACAGAAAGTTCGTCGGGAAGTGGAGCCGCGGGATCTCAGGACGGAGCCCCGAACGGCGAACCGACGACACTATCTGCCACGGCCAGTCCGAGCACGACGCGGGGACCCCCACCGATCCCCCAGGACACGTTTCCAGACTCGGGGGTGACTCCCAAGTTCTAGCGCCGGGCATGGACGAGCCAGACAGCGCGAGGATGTCCTGCCGTCAAGGGCAGTCGTTGTCTCTACGCTTCACTCGGCACGCTCGATGCTGCAGCGCTTCAGACAGCACCGGCTGCGGGAAAAAACGCCTTGCCCACCCCCCTCTCCCTCGCCTCGGGCTCAGCGCCATGTCGAGCGGGACCACCAGTTGCCAAGTTGTTCCGGGGACCTGGCCAGGGCCTCAGCGGCGGCGGGCTGGCTGGAAGAAGACCAGTTCATCGCCGATCACGAAGTCGCCTGTGGCCGACGTGCGCGAGAGGCTCTTAGCAAGGGGGCTCTTGGGAGTTTCTCAGATCGGCCGATAGGCTCCCAGGATCAGGATCGAACCGAGGAGGCCGAGGTCTGGGCGCCAGGACGGCAGAGGCCCCAGTCAGCCTTCACGGAGGTTTTCTTTCCCCCGAGAGTGGCCCCGGAGGTCTCCGAGGTTGGGGCCCCCATGGGCGACAAGGCCAGCTGGGGCATCAAGGCCAGGTGGGACGCATCTCGAAGAAATGGCATCCAGGAGCTGTGGCGAAGCAACGAGGACGAGGGCCCCGATATCATGTGGCTTTCACCCGATTGCAGCCCGTGTCTTCACAGCGATCAATCGGCTGAACCGTCACAGGAGCCATCCCGAAATCTGGAAGAATTCTGTCGAGATCGGACTGCGAGACCTCCATATATGCATGAGGATCGCCGTCCATCAGCGTTCGAGCATCTTCTCCACGCCTCGTCCTGGAGAACTCAGGCCGCGAATGCGGCGTGGGCCCATCCCAGGGCGCAGCGACCGTGGGTGGACACGTGCGCGAGCAGAAGCAGGAGGAGTGCTTGCGGGAACTGGGAGCAAAGGACACCGACCCCGCCGAGAGCTCCCCTGTCCGAGAATCCAGGGCGGCAGAGATGGGGGTGATGACTGGGGGGGGGGGAGAGATCGTGGCGGGGGCCATGATATCTCCCCATATTTCATGGCGCCTGTTTCTTTCTTCATTACGCCCCCGCCCCCCCTAGGCCGCGCACGAATCGCCGGCCATGATTTGCACCCCTCCCTCTTGGACGCCCCCCTCTTTGGCCGCCCCCGGGAGAAGAACCGGGGACTCTGGCTGGGCCGTCCCTTCCTTCGTCTCGGAGAGATGCATCATCATGAGTAGCGGCCACCTGTCGCACTTCGGCGTGTCTCTGCCTGCGGGCACGCGCGTTCCGACGCGTCGCGCGTCGCGCCTCCGTCCTCGGGCCCACGCCCG